GCTCTGGATAAGAGCGTCTGCTAAATGACTAAAATGTAAATGTAAAATGTGAAGTCTCCGTACAAAAACCTCCTTCACACAAGAGTGAGAACCTTCACACACAGAGCACTCTCAGTACCACCCTGATAGTACTGAAGTACTAGTATAATACAATAGGGACTGATAGTACTGAAGTGCTAGTATAATACAATAGGGACTGATATTACTGAAGTACTAGTATAATCAAATCAAATCAAGCTTTATTTATACAGCACATTTCAGACATGGAATGCAACAAAAAGTGCTTTACAGGAAGAAACGAATAAAAAACAATGAAAATAAAAGCTGAAATATTTACTACACAAAAAACATAATATAAAAAAACAAAAGAATGACACAAACTGAACAACTAAAAAGAACCCAAAGGAAAGCAAAGCTAAAATATGTGTTTTAAGACCTCCTTTAAACATGTCCACAGTTTCGGCCCCCCTCAGGTTCTCTGGCAGGCTATTCTGGAGGCTGGGGACATAATAACTAAAGGCTGCCTCTCCATGCTTCTTGGTCCTAGGCTTTGGGATAGATAAAAGGCCAGTGCCAGAGGACCTGAGGGACATACTGGGTACATAACTTAAAAGCATGTCTGACATGTAGTGGGGTGCACAATCGTGGATTGATTTAAAAACCAATCTTAAAATGTATTCTAAAACTCACAGGGAGCCAGTGCAGAGACCTTAAAACCGTTGTAGTGTGTGCTTTCCGTCTTGTCTTGGTCAGTACCCGTGCTGCAGCATTCTGTGTGTTTTGCAGTTGACCAATGGCTTTCCTGGGTAGACCAGACAGGAGAACATTACAGTAGTCAAGCCTGCTCTGTATCAGCCTGAGAGAGAAACAGCTTCACCTTGGCAATGTTCCTCAGGTGGTAAAAAGCTATTTTGCTCACATTCTTAATGTTTGGTACGAAATTTAGTTCAAAATCTAAAATAGCACCTACGTTTTTTTTCCTGCTGTTTTATTTTTATTGCCCATGAATTAAAATGTGTGGCTAGATTCTCTCTCTGTGCTTTGGCTGATAGTTAGAAAATATATTTATTTATTTATTTTTTACCCCACATTTTTTTCCTTTTTGGTTCCTTATTATCCATCTGTACAGTAGGTGGCGGAATACACATAATTGTTGCGAACACCATTATACCAAAGAAGAAGATCTCTTCAACTACAGTTTCTCTGTGGGACCATGAAAGTCTGTTTGCGTAGCGAGTACACTTTGCATTGCCAGCACATGCTTCAGAGGTCTGGGAGTGTTTATAGCCCTGTGAGTTGAACGCTTCATGACTGAGAGCTGTCCTTCATGACAACAGAACCCACAAAAACATGACTTTTATCACCATCCTCATCTGGACACTTGCCCTCTGCTTTCAGGAAAAAGATTTTGAGCTCAGACATTACACACATATCCGTAACCATAGAATTAGGAATTAGAATGTGATGTCAGTAACTGTCAATGCCTATATTTAGTAATACCCATATTTTATGTAATCTATTAAATGGTGGTTTATTCATTGTAAGAAAGTCCCCCTCCCTGAATCCACTATAGAGGTTACAGTAAAACCAGTCCACTCCCTCACATCTGGCCAAGTCCAGGGTATTACAGGCAATGAAACTGTTCAACTACTAGACTGGTATCTGTGGGAGTGAAACTGAGATTTACATAGACAGGGCTGGGTGGTTCTGCTTGTCCCAGAATAGAGCAGCACTGTCACCAGATGTTCACTCTGTCCCCAGGGGGTTGGAGGTAGAGAAGACTGTCACTACACTATATAACAGCGTTTCCCAAACTCGGTCCTCTGGACCCAAAGGGGTGCAAGTTTTGGTTTTTGCTCTAGCACTACACACCTGATTCAAATAATCAACTAATCATCAAGATATGATAATTTGAATCAGCTGTGTAGTGTTAGGACAAAAAACTAAATGTGCACCCCTTGAGGACCGAGTATGGGAAACGCTGCTAAGTCTTGAAGTAGTGCCACTTGTAATATTTGTATTTGTATTACATTTTTTTTAGCTTCAAATCAAAGCCTATAACACACGTGAGAGTCCAAGATATCGGTTGACTGTTTGATAGTTCTTCTTTTATTACTGTGAAGTCTGTCAAGTCAAACAGGTCTGACACAGTGTCACACCCTTGTTCTGGGACTCATTATGTTGAGCCAGGGTGTGTGCATTCTATGTGTTTATTTCAATGTTGGTAGTTCTGTTATGTCATTTTCTAGGTTGTTGTATGTTTGTATTGAGTGACTCCCAATCGGAGGTAACGAGTGTCAGCTGTCGGCTCGTTATCTCTGATTGGGAGCCATATTTATACTGTGTGTTTTCACCTTGGGGTTGTGGGTTTTTGTTCCGTGTTCGGTTAGTGTACCGTTTTGGACTTCACGAGTCGTGTTTGGATTACTTTAATATAATAAAGTCATGTTTGTTTCACACGCTGCGCCTTGGTCTACTCACTCCTACGACGATCGTGACAGAAAAACCCACCACAAAAGGACCAAGCAGCGTGTCCAGGAGCAAGGTGATTGGACATGGGAGGAAGCGCCGGGTAAGGAGATCGAGAGGCTGGCGATGGCCCAGGTGGGCAAATCGTGGTCCTGGGAGGACATGCTCGGGGGCAAGGGACCTTGGGGGAGGATCAAGGCCCTGGCGAGAGAGGAGCAACGGCGTCAGCAGGGCCATCGTCGGAAGGACGAGAGGCAACCCCAATAAATTTTTAGGGGGGGGCACACGGCATGGACGACGGAGGCAAAGATGGGGCGAATCCAGGATGCCACCAGGCCAGGGGTACACCGCCCTGTACGTCCTGTGCGGATGCCTCACACAGAGTGTGTGAGGGTAGGCATTCAGCCAGGACGGGTGGTGGCCGCTGTTCACTCCAGGCCTCCTATCCGTCTCCACAGCCCGGTCCGGCCTGTTCCTGCCACCCGCACCAAGTCTACGGTGTGCGTCGACAGCCCTGCCCGGCCTGTTCCTGCTCCCCGCACCAAGGCTACGGTGTGCGTCGACAGCCCTGCCCGGCCTGTTCCTGCTCTACGCACCAAGGCTACGGTGTGCGTCGACAGCCCTGCCCGGCCTGTTCCTGCTCTACGCACCAAGGCTACGGTGTGCGTCGACAGCCCTGCCCGGCCTGTTCCTGCTCTACGCACCAAGTCTACGGTGTGCGTCGACAGCCCTGCCCGGCCTGTTCCTGCTCTACGCACCAAGTCTACGGTGTGCGTCGACAGCCCTGCCCGGCCTGTTCCTGCTCTACGCACCAAGGCTACGGTGTGCGTCGACAGCCCTGCCCGGCCTGTTCCTGCTCTACGCACCAAGGCTACGGTGTGCGTCGACAGCCCTGCCCGGCCTGTTCCTGCTCTACGCACCAAGGCTACGGTGTGCGTCGACAGCCCTGCCCGGCCTGTTCCTGCTCTACGCACCAAGGCTACGGTGTGCGTCGACAGCCCTGCCCGGCCTGTTCCTGCTCTACGCACCAAGTCTACGGTGTGCGTCGACAGCCCTGCCCGGCCTGTTCCTGCTCTACGCACCAAGTCTACGGTGTGCGTCGACAGCCCTGTCCGGCCCAGTCCTGCTCCCCGCACCAAGTCTACGGTGCGCGTCGCCAGCCCGACCCGGCCTGTTCCTGCCACTCGCACCAGACCTACGGTGCGCGTCGCCAGCCCGACCCGGCCTGTTCCTGCCACTCGCACCAAGCCTACGGTGCGCGTCGCCAGCCCGGTCCGGCCTGTTCCTGCCACTCGCACTAAGCCAGGGGTGCGAGTCGTCAGCCTGGTAAGGCCCGTTCCTCCTCCACGCACCAAGCCTACGGGGTGCGTCGTCAGCCCTGTCCGGCTCGTTCCTGCCCTCCGCACCAGGTCTTTGGTGCGCGTCGCCAGCCCTTTCCGGTCCATTCCTGTTCCACGCACCAAGCCAGGGGCGCGTGTCGTCAGTCCGGCTCCGGCCAGCGGGGCTAGACAGGACCAGGGGTACTGTGGGGGGTGTATCGGAGGGTGGTGGTCTAGGCCGGAGCCAGAACCGCCACCGAGGAGGTATGCCCGCCCAGCCCTCCCCTGTTTGGGGTTTTTGAGGCGCGGTCGCAGTCCGCGCCTTTAGGGGGGGGTACTGTCACACCCTGGTTCTGGGACTCATTATGTTGAGCCAGGGTGTGTGCATTCTATGTGTTTATTTCAATGTTGGTAGTTCTGTTATGTCATTTTCTAGGTTGTTGTATGTTTGTATTGAGTGACTCCCAATCGGAGGTAACGAGTGTCAGCTGTCGGCTCGTTATCTCTGATTGGGAGCCATATTTATACTGTGTGTTTTCACCTTGGGGTTGTGGGTTTTTGTTCCGTGTTCGGTTAGTGTACCGTTTTGGACTTCACGAGTCGTGTTTGGATTACTTTAATATAATAAAGTCATGTTTGTTTCACACGCTGCGCCTTGGTCTACTCACTCCTACGACGATCGTGACACACAGACTCAGTATCCTGATGAATGAAGACAGTCAACTACTACCATGGCAGAACCTCTTCTATTATATCATAATATATTGTGATAGTATTAAATACTGGTCCATTATGATGTTAGAGTGAGTTTTAGACTTGACAGTTTTTAAAGACACCATTAATCAGCCTTACTGAATACATATTTTTCCAGAATATTACAAATATACAGTATCTATGATACTGTTTATTAATAGAAACAACAAAAATATGCATTTCAAAAAGAAATATTTATTTTAATCCATTATCACACAATCGAAGCATCAAAACAAACATGATAGTGAATAAAAGCAGATCACATCAAATCTAAAACTAACACAATCTCAATCTCAATCTACAGAATGGATTGACACATTAATTTAAGCCAAGCCCCCTGTTAGTCTACACCAGGGTGATCTCTAAATCAGAGAATTACTGATTTTAGAACAAAGCTATTCAAAGCAGAGGAACCAGCATCCTCTCTCCACAGGGGTGTGTGACTGAGGGGTCCTACCAAGAACAGTCAGCCCTCCTCAGGGTCTTTGTGACTGGAGTCTGGGATTTCTGCTGGAATTCACAGGTCACCTCTCCTGCCTTGGTCCACTCCTGGGCAGTGAGAGTCAGTGTGCTGCTCCAGCTGTACAGGCCGTCCTTTTCCTGGACCCCGGGACTGGCCTCCTGCTTCTTGTTGGTCCCGTCCACTTTCCAGCTCATGGTCCAGTCTGAGGGGAAGCCCTTGTTGGCCAGACACATCAGCGTGGCTATTGACTTACTGGACAGCTCCTCACTAGAGGGTGGCTGGACGGGTTTGGGAACTGTTACCTGGAAGAAACACAACACATCAACTACATCAAAACAAAGTACTTTGGAAATGACTTCTAAAACTTAGATTAGATTGCTAAAAGACGTGAAGAAAACACAAACATTAGTATGATAGGAAAGCAGATTACAAGTATAAAGTATACAAGCAGAAAGCATACAAGTATGACGTGTTTAACTTTAGCATTACTTTGTCATACATACATTTTTTTAGGATCGTTTCTCATCAGAATACTCATATTTGTAGTATTTTGCAGAATCCAAGAGGTTGGATACAAATAACAGAGACCCTTTCTGGCTATCATGAACACAATGCACTGATGACTACAATAACAAATATTATAGTTATCATACCAGAATAAGAGTTATATAGTCTGCAATCATACAAATAAAACATACAAAAAAATGCCCGCAATTTAACATTTTGATTAAATAAACTGTTAAAGAAGGCTCTTTCAAAATCAATATATAACAATATTTTTGGAAAGTAAAGTATCTCAAATCTAAATGTTTTAATAGAGATTAAAGAGTTTAAGAAAAAAATGGAATCAGACAAACATCAAGAAACTTACTTCCAACATCTAGTCTGGTGCCGCTACCAAAAGTGTACCACAGTGATACAACCCCTATAACTGTTGGTACAAAAACCTCCTGACCATTGGGCAAGCTGAATAATAAAAAAATTTAGACTGTGGTTTAAATCATGAGCACATATGAATACTGGCCAAATATAATGTTATATTCTTCATTTGAAATAGTTTTTTGATTAAATGAAAAACATTATAGTTTTATTATAAAATAGAAAGGTATAAAACAAACCCAAACATTTTAGAGAAATGTTCACTAACTGATTTGAGGAACATACATAAGAGTCCAAGCATGAGTGAAGTGACAGTTAGGGCTGTATTCAATCTGTATTGCTGAAGCCTTTAAATTTCAATTGGGCTTTAGCGCTGAACTTCAGCAATACGGATTGAATAGAGCCCTTCATCTGAAATAAAAGTTGTATCGTTGAAGTGTTACAGATTGCCGGATAGAAACGTCAAGATAATTTTTGATTGAGCTGACATATTACATTTACTTCACTTAGCAGATGTTCTTATCCAGAGGGACTTACAGGAGCAATAAGGGCCTTACTCAAGGGCACATCGACAGATTTTTGACCCAGTCGGCTCAGGGATTCGAACTAGCGACCTCTTAACCGCTAGGCTACCTGCCACCCCATATGCAGCGTTTACTGTGAATGCAGTCTCCGCTAACACAGGAACATTGCCTTTAAATTCCAATCACGCTGTAACGCTGAACTTCAGCAATACGGATTGAATAGACCCCTTCATCTTGATGCTTGTCATTAGCTTTCAAGTTGAAGTTGCTGTTGAATTCTAAAGCATATTATGTTATAGAAAACTGATCTTAAATGGAATCTGATCTTGACAATGTGTTATTCTTTTCTCAGTATCCCGAGGGCAGATCACTGTGACTCAGACTCCTGCAGTGAAAGCTGTCCTTTCAGGTCACATACTGCAGTTACTCTCCAGTGCTGTAAAACCAGCAGTAATCCATTAAAGGCTCTGTGCAGTCAAAATTCAGTTTTTCTTGTGTTTTATATAATATTGTACAACAGCTGATGAAACTAACACTGTAAAAGTATGAAAAAAATGGATCAGTGTTATTTCATGATTGTTCCTAGTTGAAAATATGATGTACTGTACATAGGACCTTCTAATTAGCACGTTTGCATTTGAGGGAGGTTCGGCTTTCCATGGTGACATTACCATGTAGCAAATTAGTTAATAGACAAATAACAAAGAGAGTTCCAAATCTCTCTGCCAATAACAGCTAGTTTTCCGTTTTCCCCTCCCCCACTCAGACCACTCTCAGACAGTCTTAGCTGCAGGTGCTGTGGAGGAGGACTAGACCAGTGATAGTGTTAGGGACTAGACCAGTGATAGTACTGAGGACTAGACCAGTGATAGTGTTCAGGACTAGACCAGTGATAGTGTTAGGGACTAGAACAGTGATAGTGTTGAGGACTAGACCAGTGATAGTGTTCAGGACTAGACCAGTGATAGTGTTAAGGACTAGAACAGTGATAGTGTTCAGGACTAGACCAGTGATAGTGTTGAGGACTAACCAGTGATAGTGTTGAGGACTAGACCAGTGATAGTGTTGAGGACTAACCAGTGATAGTGTTGAGGACTAGACCAGTGATAGTGTAAGGGACTAGACCAGTGATAGTGTTGAGGACTAGACCAGTGATAGTGTAAGGGACTAGACCAGTGATAGTGTTCAGGACTAGACCAGTGATAGTGTTGAGGACTAACCAGTGATAGTGTTCAGGACTAGACCAGTGATAGTGTTCAGGACTAGACCAGTGATAGTGTTAGGGACTAGACCAGTTATAGTGTTAGGGACTAGACCAGTGATAGTGTTCGGGACTAGACCAATGATAGTGTTGAGGACTACAGTCTAGGGTATCATAGGTTCCCTTTATTATTTGACCGACCAACACCTCAAAATGAAAACAGTCACACAATGGATGATATACACTGAGTGCACAAAACATTAGGAACATACCATGACAGACTGACAAGGTGAATCCAGGGGAAAGCTGTGATCGCTTATTGATGTCACTTGATAAATCCACTTCAATCAGTGTAGATGAAGGGGAGGAGACAGGTTATAGAATGATTTCTAAGCCTTGAGACAATTAAGACATGGATTGTGTATGTGTGCCATTCAGAGAGTGAATGGGCAAGACAAAATATTGAAGTGCCTTTTAACGGGGTATGGTAGTAGGTGCCAAGCGCACCGGTTTGTGTGTCAAGAACTGCAACGCTGCTGGGTTTTTCACAGTCAACAGTTTCCCATGTGTATCAAGAATGGTCCACCACCCAAAGGACATCCAGCCAACGGCAGGCCAGTGGTCGAAAACGGGTAATTGATGAAAGAGGACAAAGGAGCCTGACATGAATTGTGCAGAGAAACAGACGGGCTACAGTTAGTCAACTGACAGACTAGTACAACATTTGTGACCAAAGACCCATAAAAGAATGCACAACTCATCGTACCTTGACACGAATGGGGTATGGCAGCCGACATCCTCACAAAGTTACACTTCTTTCAGCAAAAAAAACAGAAACTGAGTTTGCAGTGGGCTATGGAACGGAAATACTGGACACTGGAGAATTGGAAAAATATTGCTTGATCTGATGAATCCCTATTCCTGCTGTTTCACGCTGATGGGAGGACTAGGGTATGGACAAAACCACATGAGTACATGCATACAAAAAGCTGTGTATCAACGTTGGTGGTGTGATGGTGTGGGGTGTGTTTTCATGGCACACATTGGGCCCTTGATAAAAGTGGAGCAACGTTTAAATTGCCAATCAGGTGCATCCCTTCATGGCTGTGGGAAGCATTGGAGTCAACATGGGCCAGCATCCCTGTGGAAGGAACACTTTCGACACCTTATAGAGTCCATGACCTGACAAATTGAGTCTGCTCTGAGGGCAAAAGGGGGTGGAACTCAATATTAGGAAGGCGTATTTAGTCAGCCACCAATTGTGCAAGTTCTCCCACTTAAAAAGATGAGAGAGGCCTGTAATTTTCATCATAGGTACACGTCAACTATGACAGACAAAATGAGAAAGAAAATCCAGAAAATCACATTGTAGGATTTTTAATGAATTTATTTGCAAATTATGGTGGAAAATAAGTATTTGGTCAATAACAAAAGTTTCTCAATACTTTGTTATATACCCTTTGTTGGCAATGACACAGGTCAAACGTTTTCTGTAAGTCTTCACAAGGTTGTCACACACTGTTGCTGGTATTTTGGCCCATTCCTCCATGCAGATCTCCTCTAGAGCAGTGATGTTTTGGGGCTGTCGCTGGGCAACACGGACTTTCAACTCCCTCCAAAGATTTTCTATGGGGTTGAGATCTGGAGACTGGCTAGGCCACTCCAGGACCTTGAAATGCTTCTTACGAAGCCACTCCTTCGTTGCCCGGGCGGTGTGTTTGGGATCATTGTCATGCTGAAAGACCCAGCCACGTTTCATCTTCAATGCCCTTGCTGATGGAAGGAGGTTTTCACTCAAAATCTCACGATACATGGCCCCATTCATTCTTTCCTTTACACGGATCAGTCGTCCTGGTCCCTTTGCAGAAAAACAGCCCCAAAGCATGATGTTTCCACCCCCATGCTTCACAGTAGGTATGGTGTTCTTTGGATGCAACTCAACATTCTTTGTCCTTCAAACACGACGAGTTGAGTTTTTACCAAAAAGTTATATTTTGGTTTCATCTGACCATATGACATTCTCCCAATCCTCTTCTGGATCATCCTAATGCACTCTAGCAAACTTCAGACGGGCCTGGACATGTACTGGCTTAAGCAGGGGGACACGTCTTGCACTGCAGGATTTGAGTCCCTGGCGGCGTAGTGTGTTACTGATGGTAGGCTTTGTTACTTTGGTCCCAGCTCTCTGCAGGTCATTCACTAGGTCCCCCCGTGTGGTTTTGGGATTTTTGCTCACTGTTCTTGTGATCATTTTGACCCGAGGGGGTGAGAACTTGCGTGGAGCCCCAGATCGAGGGAGATTATCAGTGGTCTTGTATGTCTTCCATTTCCTAATAATTGCTCCCACAGTTGATTTCTTCAAACCAAGCTGCTTACCTATTGCAGATTCAGTCTTCCCAGCCTGGTGCAGGTCTACAATTTTGTTTCTGGTGTCCTTTGACAGCTCTTTGGTCTTGGCCATAGTGGAGTTTGGAGTGTGACTGTTTGAGGTTGTGGACAGGTGTCTTTTATACTGATAACAAGTTCAAACAGGTGCCATTAATACAGGTAACGAGTGGAGGACAGAGGAGCCTCTTAAAAAAGAAGTTACAGGTCTGTGAGAGCCAGAAATCTTGCTTGTTTGTACGTCACCAAATACTTATTTTCCACCATAATTTGCAAATAAATTCATAAAAAATCCTACAATGTGATTTTCTAGATTTTTTTTTCTCAATTTGTCTGTCATAGTTGACGTGTACCTATTATGAAAATTACAGGCCTCTCTCATCTTTTTAAGTGGGAGAACTTGCACAATTGGTGGCTGACTAAATACTTTTTTCCCCCACTGTATATTACCAAATGAGGCATACGTTATCTGTCTTGCTCCAGGAGTCCCATTTGCATAGAGAGAACACTTTGCATTGGCTGCACATGCTTCAGTGGTCTGAGAGTGTTTATATCCCTGTGATTTTAACACTTCATGACTGAGAGCTGTCCTTAATGACAACAGACTCCACAACAACCATGACTTTTATCACCATCTTTATCTGGATATTTGCCCTCTGTCTCCATGGTAATATATTTTACAGAAAATTACCCGGACAATTGCGCTATATAACCTCATTACAGTTTAATTTCATATGCTACATGGAAAAATGTATTAACAATTGAATGCTCTTTCCACATGCCATCTCTGTTTCAGAATCCAGAGGCCAGGTCACTGTAACTCAGACCCCTGCAGTGAAAGCTGTTCTCCCAGGACAGACAGTCTCTTTGAACTGTAAAACCAGCAGTGATGTCTATAACAATAACCATCTAGCCTGGTATCATCAGAAACCTGGAGGAGCTCCTAAACTCCTTATTTACTATGCTACAACACTTCAGTCTGGGACTCCATCTAGATTCAGTGGTAGTGGAACTCATAGTGACTTCACTCTGACCATCAGTGGAGTCCAGGCTGAAGATGCAGGAGATTACTACTGTCAGAGTTTACACTACCCCAACAGTGTCTGGGTGTTCACACAGTGATACAGAGCCGTACAAAAACCTCCCTCAGTCAGACTGCACAGTGACTGTACTGCTACAGCTGGGACCTACTGCAGGTGCTGAGGGGGACACAGTGACATGGAACACTAGATGAGGTCAACTGTGACATGTGACAATATGGTTAGAAAGCAATCGTTCAGTTCACATGACCATCATCATCATCATTAACATCATCATCATGGTTTTAACTTGTTATATTTGTCATGGCCTTTAAGTGTGTATAACATTTATTTGAAGTTTTGAAACACATTACCTGTCAATATGTAAAGCAAGATCTACAGATGTAAAACAAAAGGTGTTCTAACCTCAACATTACTTCAAAGTTACAATCACTTCAGCCCCCCAAAACAAGTCCCAAAATGGACCTCAACCAAATGTCTGATTTAAATTGTGATCTTCTACCGTTATATTAACTGTTTTCATGAGCAGGTTACTGACTGTTAGATCTGTGAATGAGACATGATGTTGGATTCAAACATGAGACACATGTACACTACATACACTATCTATGTAAAGTATAATATCAATTTTATCTGTCATTAATTACATGGTGGCATATCTGTTATGAGTCCCTCACTGAATCCACCATAGAGGTTAAAACCAGTCCACTCCCTCACATCTGGCCCAGTCCAGGGTATTTCAGGCAGTGAAACTGTTCAACTACTAGACTGGTGTTACGGATACAGGTATCCTGTGTCCTGTGTTTTCCTCTCCTTCTGCCCTAATCACAGGTGTCCTGTATGTTCCTGATTGGTGGTCGTTGAGATGTCTGCTGATTGCTAAGGTGGACCAATCAGTGAACATTCCTCGGCATGGCACCACCTGTTGCTGGTTTTTCAATCACACATCCCTATGTATAAAAACCAGTCCGTTGTGTTTGTAGGAAGAAAAAGACTGTTTCCGTATGTGAGTATGGATACTGTGGTATCCTGTGTATTGTTTACTCACTAAGTTGCTGGTTCCGCTGTTTAGTAACTTTGTTCGACTACTTTTTGTATGTGAGTATGGATACGGTGGTGTCCTGTGTATTGTGTACTCACTAAATTGCTGATTACTTTGTTTGGTAACTTTGTGTGTTCTGGGAAAAGGGGAGTTGAAGCAAGTTGCCCTTGGGCGTACATTACCCGTAGGAAGAAATCTGTCTAAAAACACTAGTTAGACCTGAGCGGACCACCCCCTGTACTTTTGTATGATTAGCAGTAGTTTAGTGGTTCTTGAGGCAGGCAAGATCAGTTTTAGGTTTTTTTTTACACTATGTTTCATTTCTTGGGTCCTGCTCAGCCCTTTTTCCCAAACCTTTACCGTGTGTTCAGCAATAAACCATTTATGTTTGACGGTAGTTTATGGTTGTCGTGTAGTTTTTGTTCTCACTGTTCCATGTCACACTCCTACTTTGCATGAATTATGTTACGGGTCTCATGTCCATCCACCCTAGCCGTTTAGAGCCACGGGGTTCGTAACATAAAGTGGGGGTTCGTCCGGGATCTATCTCATAGATACTCATGCAAATTAGTTAGTGTCTGGTTCAGTGTTGAGCTTGGCAGCTGTAACTACCAGTTTTTTTTTTGTGTTCAGTATTCGACGGCTCGTGTTGCTAGTTTAGGATGGCTACTTTTGAGTTGGATGCATTTTTGGAAAACCCTACGTGGGAGGTTTTTGAGAATTGCCTTAGAGTGGATCTACAGGCTTTGGCTGACCACTTTTCTGTACCCATACCGAGGGGTTTAGTGAAAGCAGAAGTTAGGGAAGTAGTGCTAGCGATATTGTTGAAGGAGCGAGTGCTTGAATTACCGCCACCTGACCCTGCTGCTCCTGTAGGGGATGTGGTTGCTGTTCATGTAAGCCCGTCGGTGTCTGAGGACGAGGCTAAGGCTCCAGCCACATTGCCCCGTTATGACCCACTCTCCCCACAGTCCGACTGTGATGCCAGGATGGATGTCCGCTCGACACGGCTCCAAATGGAGGCGGAAGAGCGGGCACAAATCAGGCTAGACAAGCTGGAAGTGTGAGTGAAACTATCTGTGGGAGTGAAACTGAGATTTACATAGACAGGGCTGGGTGGTTCTGCTTGTCCCAGAATAGAGCAGCACTGTCACCAGATGTTCACTCTGTCCCCAGGGGGTTGGAGGTAGAGAAGACTGTCACTACACTATTTGCAGCGTTTCTCAAACTCGGTCCTCTGGAACCCAAGGGGTGCACGTTTTGGTTTTTGCCCTAGCTTTACACAGCTGATAAAAAAAGAATCAACTAATGATCGAGCTTTGATCATTTGAATCAGCTGTATAGTGTTAGGGCAAAAAACTAAACGTGCATCCCTTGGGGTCCCGAGAACCAAGCTTGGGAAACAATGCTATATCTTGAAGTAGTGGCACTTGTAATATTTGTAATTTTTAAAAATATATTTAGCTTCGAATCACAGCCTATAACACACGTGAGAGTCCAAGATATCGGTTGACTGTTTGATAGTTCTTCTTTTATTACTGTAAAGTCTGTCAAGTCAAACAGGTCTGACACAGACTCAGTATCCTGATGAATGAAGACAGTCAACTACTACCATGGCAGAACCTCTTCTATTATATCATAGTATATTGTGATAGTATTAAATACTGGTCAATTATGATGTTAGAGTGAGTTTTAGTCTTGACAGTTTTTAAAGACACCATTAAATCAGCCTTACTGAATACATATTTTTCCAGAATATTGCAAATATACACTATCTATGATCCAGTTTATTAATAAAAACATCAAAAATATGCATTCCAAAAAGAAATCTTTATTTTAATCCATTATCACACAATCGAAGCATCAAAGCAAACATGATAGTGAATAAAAGCAGATCACATCAAATCTAAAACGAACAAAATCTCAATCTACAGAATGGATTGACACATGAACTCAAGCCAAGCCCCCTGTTAGTCTACACCAGAGTGATCTCTAAATCAGAGAACGACTGATTTTAGAACAAAGCAAGTCAAAGCAGAGGAACCAGCATCCTCTCTCCACAGGGGTGTGTGACTGAGGGGTCCTACCCAGAACAGTCAGCCCTCCTCAGGGTCTTGGTGACTGGAGTCTGGGATTTCTGCTGGGCTTCACAGGTCACCTCTCCTGCCTTGGTCCACTCCTGGGCAGTGAGAGTCAGTGTGCTGCTCCAGCTGTACAGGCCGTCCTTCTTCAGGACCCCGGGACTGGCCTCCTGCTTCTTGCTGGTCCCGTCCACTTTCCAGCTCATGGTCCAGTCTGAGGGGAAGCCCTTGTTGGCCAGACACGTCAGTGTGGCAGTTGTTGTACTGGACAGCTCCTCACTAGAGGGGGGCAGGACGGTGAGGGTGGGGGAACTGTTACCTGGAACAAACAGAACACATCAACTAAGTGACCACATCAAGTACAGTTACAGTAAGAGATTATCTTCAGCAAAGGACACATCAAAATAAAGTGAAATGGAAATGCCTTCTAAATATGAATGTAAAAGTTAGATTGTTTAAAAGTAATATGATACAAAGCAGATTCATGAACCAAAGTGGTTAAATAACTAGAGTTACTAGTCATACGGTGTCAGTTATACATGTCATACAGATATTGTTTAGGAATGGATCTGGTCAGAATAGCCTTTCCATATTCATAGTATTTGTAAAATCTGAGCATAGATTAGTTTTAATCGCATATCAACCATGGTAGATCATGAAGTCTGTTACAAACATAACTGAGATCCTTTGTCTTCACACTAACAGTGAAGGCTACCAAGACCTCAATGCAACAATAATGACTACTAAATCCAATGCTATTAAATAGTAATCATACCAGAATTAAGAGTTATAGTCTGCAATCATACAAATCAGACATAAATAAACCTACAATTAAAATATTTTGATTCAATAAAATTGTATTAGAAAGAAGGGTCAGTCAAAAGCAATTAAAACATTTTGAAAATCTAGAATCACAATATTTTCATAGAGACAGAGTGTAAGAATAACATACTTAATAAGTGTAATCAGAAAGAAATATCAAGTGAGCTTGTTACTTACTTCCAACATCTAGTCTGGTGCCGCTACCAAAAGTGTACCACTGTGATACAATCCCTATTACTGATCGTACAAAAACCTCCTGGCCATTGGGCAAGCTATATTTCTTTAGACTGTGGTTGAAATCATTGACTCTAATATGGTATGAATACTTGCCAAAGATAATTTGATCTTGTTTATTTGAAATAAAGTGTTTTTTGTTTAGTTTTCCCCCCAAAACTGCTAAACCTGTTTATTGAACATTTCCTACAAGGTGCAGTATGTTTATTCATACACCTAATCTAAAATGTAGGCTAATCACTCTCATCACAGAAAATGCAGGTCAATTTGATAAGATGTAATTGCGTTTATTTTCAAATTGGCCATAGTATGTGTAGGCCTAGTATATTTGTCCAGAAATCAACTAAAAAATGTAAGTTAAAAAATCCTCAATATATTCGAGGATAAATTGAAAGAGAAATTGAAACACAAGATCAAAAGGTGAATAAAACAGTCAATTTTGTTGTTTACTTACTTCCAACATCTAGTCTGGTGCCGCTACCAAAAGTCCACCACAGTGATACAATCCCTATTACTGATCGTACAAAAACCTCTCTGTGTTGTGATGCTGCAGCTGTTACAGTGAAGATCACTCATACAGAATCACATTCAACACAAATACACTATAACATCTTCCAGGTAAAACAAGCAGTTCATATAAGCTGTTTCTAGATAATACAAATATGAATTGTATCTTCAATCCAGATATGAGTATTTTTTCCTTCTTCTGTGTATCAGGTGTTCTCCTAGTCTGTATATACAGTCCAGCATTAGATCCAGTGTTGCTAGTATTCCTCCATATTGTCCATATGAAAGACAACAGCAGCAGCAGTACTGATAGTGATCCATGTTGTATATTCCTTTATTAAAGATGTTGATCTCAGATTTAACAGTGGTGGTAAAGTCACAGAGGACAGACAACACTACCAGAGGAATCCTACCAGCTTTAGTTTAGAGAAGTGTTCACTAACTGATTAGAGGAACTTACATAAGAGACCGAGCATGAGTGAACAGACAGTTCATTATATCTGATCATCATCAGAATAAAAAATAAATGGTGGTATCACATAAAAGTTGCATACATTAGTTATTTGAGTAAAAATGTTGACGTTATTAAAGGGAAGGCAGGTAGCTAGCGTTTAGAGCGTTGGCGTAGTAACCAAAAGGTTGCTAGTTCAGATCCCCGGGCCGACACTGATTTGAAACAGACATTTGCATAATGCATCTGCCTCACTGCTCTAATAGTGTTTATAGCGCTGGGAGTTTAACACTTCATGACTGAGATCTGTAATTCATGACAACAGAACCCACAACAACCATGACTTTTATCACCATCTTCATCTGGACACTTGCTTTCTGCTTTCAAGGTTACACTTTTCAGAATTTACTGTTGAAAAATAATTACATCTACACCATTGAAATGTATATCAATGTTAATATTTCTATTCAGAACAATTGATTACTATATGAAATATTTTATTCATAGAATGTTTTAATTATATTTTTCAGAATCCAGAGGACAGATCACTGTGACTCAGACTCCTGCAGTGACAATTGTTCTCCCAGGACAGTCAATCTCTCTGAACTGTAAAACCAGCAGTGATGTGCATCCTAACTGTGGTTCATCTTTGCCCTGTAGGCCTGGTACCAACAGAAACCTGGATCCATTCCCAAACTCCTTGTTTATCAAGGAAGTACTATTAACTCTGGGACTCCATCTAGATTCAGTGGCAGCGGATCTTGGGAGTGACTTCACTCTGAACCATCAGTTGGAGTCCAGGCTGAAGATGCAGGAGATTACTACTGTCAGAGTGTCCACTACCCCCAACAGTGTCTGGGTGTTCACACACAGTGGTACAGAGCCGTACATAAACCTCCCTCAGTCAGACTGCACAGTTGACTGTACTGCTACAGCTGGGACCTACTGTAGGTGCTGAGGGGGAAGAGACAGTGATATGGATCACTGACTGAACTAAAATACACTGAGCTAAATATATCAGTGATGCTGACAATAATGGTCAATTTATCCACCTTTATGTTTAAAGCATTCCTGAACACCATAGTTCCAGACTACAGTGGGGAAAAAAAAAATATTTAGTCAGCCACCAATTGTGGCAAGTCTCTCCCACTTAAAAAGATGAGAGAGGCCTGTAATTTTCATCATATGACAGACACAATGAGAAAAAAAAATCCAGAAAATCACATTGGTAGGATTTTTAATGAATTTATTTGCATATTATGGTGGAAAATAAGTATTTGGGTCAATAACAAAAGTTTCTCAATACTTTGTTATAATACCCTTTTTTGGCAATGACACAGGTCAAACGTTTTTCTTAAGTCTTCCCCAAAAGGGTTTTTTACACACTGTTGCTGGATTTTTGGCCCATTCCTCCATGCAGATCTCCTCAGAGCAGTGATTTTTGGGGCTGTCGCTGGGCAACACGGACTTTCAACTCCCTCCAAAGATTTTCTAAAGGGGTTGAGATCTGGAGACTGGCTAGGCCACTCCAGGACCTTGAAATGCTTCTTACGAAGCCACTCCTTCGTTGCCCGGAGGGGTGTTTGGGATCATTGCCATGCTGAAAGACCCAGCCACGTTTCATCTTCAATGGCCCTTGCTGATGGAAGGAGGTTTTCCTTCATCAAAATCCCCACGATACATGGCCCCATTCATTCTTTCCCTTTTCACGAATCAGTCGTCTGGCCCCTTTTGCAGAAAAAAACCCCCAAAGCATGATGTTCCAAACCCCCCTGCTTCACAGTAGGTATGGTGTTCTTTGGATGCAACTCTGGCATTCTTTGTCCTCCAAACACAACGAGTTTTGGTTTTTACCAAAAAGTTCTATTTTGGTTTCATCTGACCATATGACATTCTCCCAATCCTCTTCTGGATCATCCAAATGCACTCTACAAACTTCAGGAAAGGGCTGAACATGTACTGGCTTAAGCAGGGGGACACGTCTGGCACTGCAGGATTTGAGGCCCTGGCGGCGTAGTGTGTTACTGATGGTAGGCTTTGTACTTTGGTCCCCGCTCTTGCAGGTCATTCAAAGGTCCCCCCGTGTGGTTTGGGATTTTTGCTCACCGTTCTTGTGATCATTTTGAACCCCACGGGGTGAGATCTTTCTTGGAGCCCCCGATCGAGGGAGATTATCATGCTTTATGTCTTTCTTTCTAATATGTCCCACAGTTTATTTTTTTAAAACCCAAACTCTTACCTATAGCAGATCAGTTTCCCCTTTAACCGGGGGCTTCCCCAAATTTTAAATAAATTCATTAAAATCCTAAAAATTGATTTTGGTTTTCCCCTTTTTCACTTTTTAAAGGGGGAAACTTGCACAATTGTGAAAAATTTTTTCCCCGTATGTATTATGTATTTATATGTATGTATTGTTATTTTATGGTAGGTGTAAAATATATGTATATAAATTATATATTTGCGAGAAAAAAAAAAAAATGGGGGATGGAAGTAGCAGACAATTTCATTGGATGAAGTTAAAATCCCCATTTTGCATTTTTAAGCTGATTCCCCCCCCTACCCTTTTTTTGAAGGAATTGGAAAATATCTTTTTTTTTTGGAAAGGAAGGGGTCCGAAAACTTTCCCAACGCAATATATAGTGTTATTTAAATTTCGAAAAAAAATAAGATAAAAATTTAATTTATGTTATGGAAAGTAACGTTTAGCAGTGTGAGTTCTGAGAGCGGATCTTAGAGGGTTTTTTATCAAATATCCACTAATTATTATCCCCTGTTATTTGGTGCTACAGTATAACGGATTATTCAGTTGTAGAAATAATTGCAGAGTATTTTTTGTTTAGATGGCCCCCTTTTATTATGTTTTTAAAACTGGGTAGCTACCTTTCTCCAATGCTGAAATTATTAAAATTTAAGTTGTTGATCTAATTAGTAGAATGTGCTGCCTTCATAGACAGTGATCACTGGAATCCTGATTAAAATAAACTATTGTGCTTATATTTAAATTAAAAAGCGTATTGATCAGGG